AGAGGTTCCTTTAAAGAGAGAGTTTGTCCATCACTCAGATCAATCCACAATAATCCGTATGTTGAAACACATGATGAAATACATTGAGGTTGTGCTCACACCAATGCTTCTTGCCACCCACACCCTGGGAAAGCGAAGTGCATTGCTGTGCATTGCACAGCACCATCGGGCAACAAGCACGGTCGACGTCCCTCGTCACCCCGAGTCCATAGAGCAAGACAGATCGAGGTCATATTCGGTCGGTCCCTCCATTTTGGGCCAAGAAACTTGATTAAACTTGCAACCCTCTCACAGTTGCCTTGCCTGGAGGATGCAGCACTTTGGTTGGACCGACCTTCCTACGCCGCCTGCTCTGAGAATTGCACCACAGCCCGTGCCAGTAGCGCTGGTAACAGAGCCGCCCACTGTGAGAATAGCGCCGCAGCCCATCCCGGTAGCTCTGGCAGAGGCTCCGGCTGAAAACAGACCAGTGCCCCGGTGATGCTGGCAACTTGTGAGCTGGTTCGAAGGGTCGAATGTCCGGTGTTGTGTTCTATTGGGCTGGTCAACATGGCCTGTTTAGGGCCAACGTCGTTGATGTTTAAACTTTGTATATAGATTCAACTGAATGAATGGTCGCAGAGCCATATCTTTGGGCACCGTGTCCCTTGAACACTATTGAAATACGATTCCGGGTCTTAATGCAGCTGGTTCGAGCTTGCAAGCGAGTGATTTGGAGGTGCTGCGTAACAGTAGCCGAGGGCACTGTTATAAAAAACAGCATCAGCATCGTGCTTCCACAAATCAACAATCCCTTTTCAAAGTGGTAGAATCTATTAGAAGTATACATCTATCTGTGGACCGAATGCTAGTCATGTAAATGTATGATTTCGTGATTGTTAGCTTAGCTTTCTACCAAACATTTACATGGCTGTGACTAGAAGCTTCCAACCGATGCTCGTGGTGAGTGATCCCACTGACCCAACAAACGGTACGACGCGAACGGTGAAAGGTGCTACTCCGAAGACCCTGCACCCATGGGAAAGCAAGGAGTTTTTTCTAAAGAACCAGGTCTTAGTCTCAGTGTCTGTTGGTCCCCAATCGAGTTCCACTTCAGCCCAGGTGGCCCACGTGGCCAGCCGCCCGCCTCAGATTGCCACCTATGCGCCCTGGCCTTTTGGGGTGGCAGTTGCACAGGGAAGGCACACCTGACAGGAGGTTGATGGATTGATTTTGATAGACTGCTTCGAGGCTGGCACAAAAAATGAAGGCTGGCAGCGTTGTGATTTTGTCATTACGAGAGGCAAATGAGGCATTAGTGGGCAAACATTATGAACAGACTCTATAAAATTCAGACTATACAGACTTTAGATGACTTGAGTCTTGAGTGAAGATTCAGTTGCGGACTCCACCTGTTTGAGGACCATATCTGAATGACCACATCACTTGTCAAAACCTTTGACAAACAGTGATGAACAGCCGTCCCATTCTGAACAACATAATGATCAATCATTCATGTCAACTCAATCATCCAGCCATGGGCATGATATGGCATGATGATTCCGTTCATAACAAAGGATTGACTGTGCCATCTTGACAGCATGTGTCCAGTTGGCTTCCTTTTGCCTCTTCCAGTGGGCTGTGCTATGCTGTGCTCGTGATACCAATCCAAAGGTGTTGATCCGAGATCTAGATGTTCGAAGCTCCAAAAGGCTGTGCTGTCGCATCGTCTGCAGCCCGTCGTGAGGCATCTCGGGATGCCTCGGGTCGAGTTTGGGGCATGCCCAACGCTGGCGGCCGCGGACAATGCTTGGATTGCCCCCGGAAGGCCCGAGTTCTTCCAGTCGCACTCGGGCCGAGTTCGAAGTCCGCAGGTTGGGGGAGTTGGACGTCGCATGGTGAGAGAAAGGTTCTCTTGGAAACATTGAAGCAAGAGAAGAAAGACCTCTGCAAATACGAGTCGACTCGTCGATTCGTCAACTCCAGGAATCATTTTCTGGGCAGCGCTTTTTTCGGCAAAAAGTCGGTGGATGTTCGGCTCACACTGGAGAGAGACCGGTATAATATGAAGTTCTTAAGAGCACCTGTCATTCCTAAGAACACCTGGAGAGAGACCCCCGGTGCTTTGCACGCACCGTAACGGGATCCTCAGGCCGCACTCCCCAGCACACGGTGCGCGGAATGTCAGCTCCGTGGCTTGGAGTCTGGAACGCAAAGCTGGGTAGAACATGAAGCACGTCCAGAAGGCATAGGCATCCTGAGAAACTTACATGTACTTTTTTGCATAAGTCTCTCACTGAAGCTGATGACATGAAAAAGCGAGAAACTAGCTGCTGAGAAAACCCCAAAATCCAGCTTTAGCAGGGACTGTGGATAGGTTGGTCCTGGTCTCAAAAGTGCGACCTCCACCAAGCTCCCCAAAACCCGATGTCAAAAAGGGAACATCATCGAATCATTCGTTGTAGGTGCCAGCCAGTCCCCATGAGCTGGATGTGCTAATTAAATAGAAACAAGTGCATCGCTACTAGTAGCAAGTGCATCGCTGCTAGCAACAAGAAGCCAGTAGTAGCACCGGATGGGGTTTCACAGACTCTTTTCTATTCGGTTTTATGGTTTGTTTGCTGTTGAGCATAGCCCAACGGGTCTCACCCATCCGCCGAGCATCGAGGTCTCAGCTCTGGTGCTCCCATGAGCGATCTGCCGGAGTTCCGAGCACGTTTGGATCGGGTGGCTGCACAGTGTCCCCACAAGGAGGACCCCATCGCATTACCAGTTTTACACGATTTTTGAATTTTCTTTGTAAGATTGGCCACGTGCGACTCCTTTTGCCCATGGCTGTCTTTCTTTGCCTCTGTGTCTTCGAAGGTGCAGTCGCGCCTGGAGACCCTTTATGAGAAGCTGCAAGCGGGGCAAATCCCGGAAAAGTTGCAGCAGAAGCTGAGCCTTGGGCAGCAACGCTGGTCAGGTGGTTGTGGTCGTTGTGGTCGTGCTTGGATGGTTGGGTTGAACCTCGATGAGCCTGGAAAGAGAGAGAGAGAGAGAGACTGAACACAACACGCGGGATTTGGTGTTGTGAGGGATATGCCGCCTTGAGTGAGTCGGCCGACCCAGAGGTCAAGATGTATCAGTATCTGTTTGTTTCAAGATTCCCGACAAAAGATACAAAAGCCTTCCCTGGTGTCCCGGGTGTAACAAAGAACCCCCGTGGTACGTCCTCCACTTAGTCACTGATAGCTTCTTGTTACTACCAGTAAGGCACCTGTTACTACTAGCGATGCACTTGTTCCTACTAGCAAAGGAATCTACTTCTTCCCTTTTGGTCTCCGGAGATCGCCTGAGGCGCGACTTCGCGGCCCAGCTCGAGACCAAGGACATTCGCGCCAGCTCGGTGCAGCTGCAGGACGGGCCAAGCCAGCCCAACGACCCCCTGGTGTTTCCGGTGCTTCTCGCGGCTTGGACCAGTGTTCTTCTGAGTTTGAAGTTTGAAAGCATCAGGAGATGCTTCATGGGGGTGGAAAGCCGCCTGAACCCATGGAACTCGGACTAACCTCGGCCGGGGTTGAAGGATTGGAGTACCTACTTATATAGGTGCACCGTTGCAGCCAAAAGATTGTTCATAGGGCCTAGGGATGATCAGAGACACTTTCCAGGAGATGATCACGGAATACTGGCAACAACACAAACTCTGGCTGACCGGACTCAAGTGGCTTCTACGCGCTTGAGGCAGGGGTGTCAGTGGGCTGGTGGGAGGTTTCGGAAGGTTTTGTCAGATCGGTTGATGAATGGATCTGCAAAAAAGGCATCCTGAGAGGTCTTGAGGTCTTGGAAGAGCAGGTCTACCCAGACTCAAACCAGCAACAACGGGTGAGGGGTAGGTTCGAGTAGTTTTTATGTTGTGTTTTTGTTTTGATTGTTCCATGCCTTTTTGGGTAAAGCTTGTCGGGATTGACCAATAGTTTAGGGGGGTTGGCTGGCGAACCAGACGAGCAGACGAGAACCAGACGAGTCCAGTCAGACGTGTCTTCTCAGGTGTGGACTCCTGGGCCTGAATCCGCCTCCTCCGATTCACATGGCAAGACTCTCCTCCAGGGCACTTTGCCTTTGTACAGTGAGGATCTTTTCTTGCCATCACACTGAAATGCGGTGTGCCTGAGAGAACGTTGTTCCCCTTCTATACAGTAGGCAACGTTACAGCCACCTGAAACCTCAAACATCTGCAAGAGCGCTGGTGGATTGTATGGCCACATCAATGCATGGCCTCATCAGCAGAGTCCAGCTGACCCAATCACGAAGCGATCTCGATCGCATGGAAGTTCAGCTCGCATGAAGCCCATGCTGAAGCATTGTACTTGCAGATGTTTGCAGCCCGTAGGTGGCTTACCTTGACCGTTCAGGGTCAAAAGAGTGGAGAGGTTGGCTCAGACAAGGCTGTGGGGACGTGGCTGTGGGTCAAGAGCCAAGTGCCCCGAGATCATGATTTGGGACTGGCTGCTCTCCTTGAGTTTTCTTGATTCTTTTTTGGTCTCGTCTCATACACTCTCATACAAATCCTTTCGTGACTCAGGTGTCATTTCTTTCTCAACAACAAAGCTCTTCACAGACCGCCCGGACCAAAAAAGAGGGACACTGCTGTAGGTGATTGTAGGTGTTTGTTTTCTTTAGATAATTTGCTTCTCCTGATTGAGGGTGATTTTTCCAATTCGACAGATGCTAAACAAGGATTGAACCAGATATTCGTCCACCCTGGAGACCGGTTCCACGCGCGATGTCCATGACCAAGGGAGACCCGACTCTCGGACCCAACAGGGATATCTAAAGGGACCCGTTTCCCGCGGGCCGCGCGCCGGGGGATGGGGCCGTGGGCCCGAAATGAATCTGAGGTGCTGCGTGCGAAGCGCTGCCAGGGCTGTCTTCTCTTGGAGGGAAAAAGAGTGCGACAATGGCCAAGACCTAAAATGGACCGCCACAGTCACTAAGGAGACATTACTCTCACACATTTCCCCAAGCCACACCATCGGCAGGACTACTTGGTGGAAAACCAGGACAGAGATGCTTATGATGGGTATGAGAGCCTAGATTTGGTGTTTAGACTCTGTCGTTTCATTGATAGCTCCTCAGTCAGTCTCACTTGTTTGATTCGCAACATGTTGTTGTTTTTTCAAGGTTTATTAGCCACCGGTACGTAGGGACTGAAGGGCCACAGGCTCAAAAGGTTTATCAGGACTCATTAGGACAATCAATGTTCTTGGGCGGCTCTGACTAGCAGGACTTGATCATACCTCCCAAGAAGAAGAAAAAGAAAAAGCGGGATGAGGAGCAGGAGCAGGAGCTTCGTGACGTCAGTCTCGAAGAGTTGTTGCTGTGTTGGTTGGTTGCTTGATTGGCTGGTTGGCTGGTTGGTTAGTTGGTTGGTTCAACTTTTGGTTCTGCTCCTGCTGCCATACGCCCTGCTGTTGGGTGACACCGCGACACACCACACCAGTTTGTGCGTCAAATTGTTGTGCTTGATGAGTTGGTTGTGTTGCTAGATGTTGCTAGAGTTTTTGTCCAAGGGAGTGCAAGCAAGAAACAGGCAAACACTACTAATTGCGGAACAACTGCAAGGTCTCTTGACATCAAATTAACGTTTAAAGCAATTCTTTGCCAATATTGATTGGGATTTGTTGGTTGTGCCTTTGCTTTAGGGCACTTGTATCGAACTATTGCTTGATTGAGCAAGACGGTGTTCAATTTGCAGCACGTACATGATTCATGATCTCCGAACTTTGTCGCAGTCAACACCCACAGATGGACTTCATTCACAGATTGTCTCTTTGCGTAGGACTTCGTATGATGCCTGCCACTAGCCGCACTAGCATCTGTGTGATGCGCCACTAGCTGCACCACTTCCGCTCAAATCTGGTTTAGTCGAGTATGTACCAGTCACATTGAAGGAAGCAGTGAAGCTGATGTTAATGTGCTGGTTCTACTTAGAGCATCATGAAAAATGATGCTCTTCAGCCAGTTTAGCGCAAAGCGCCCCACGTTGCTCGTTCAAAAAGTTGGATGATTTGAATGTGGATGATCGATCCCTCGCCAGAGGCCATAAGGAAGCTATTATTTTCAGAAGGACTCCCATAGCACAACTGCCTTGGCACAAGATCAAGTGATGTTAAAAAAAAAACACCCGACCAAGGAAACATGTAATGAGTGGTCCCGTTTTAGCAAACCATGGCTGATTCATTGTAAAACGATAAAGAGTTAAAAAAGAACGATAACAAAAATATAATACATGCAATACAGTACATGAGAATAGAAGCATTGGAAATTCAAATGCCTTTAGTGTTTCATGTCAAGGTTTCCGTGTAATACAAGCATTCAGGAGTAGAGCTGGGCATAGTTTTAAAAGGAGCATGTCGAGGCAAGTTCAATTTAGTTGTGATTCAGGTGTCCTTTAGGCCACCAAAATGGGTGAATACTTGGGGTTCCAAACAATAGCAAACCGATAACAGAAACGATAAGACAAATACACGAAAACGTCCTCAGGAAGACCATGTCCCACATGTACGCGCCATCTGCTCACATACTGTTCACATAATAGTGCACGCACACATATACACACAACAGAGACCGACTTGCTTGCAGTTGAGGCAGGGACATGTCTGTCGGGTTGGCTGGGAAACAATAAAAGACTGTATAAAGATTCCAAACATTGTCAATTGTAAAGCGATAAAGAGTCAAAAAAATACGATAAGGCTATAAGTCGTTATACAAAGTGTATAAGTTATTGTTATATATTTTTTTAAAATCCATATATCATTTATCAAGTGCTTGAATGCTAACGCTCGTTTCGGGATGCGAAGCTGGAGGAAGTCCAGGGAACCCATGGAAAGCCAATCAATCCCTATTCCATGTGGGGCCAAACGCCCGACTTCAGCTTTGGCCGCAGCAGCAGTGTATCCGGCTAGACATCCATGAGATGGACTAGGATTCCATCAAGACTCCATCGTGTGGGGATTCAGCACTACTGGTGATTCAGCACGCGTCTTCCTTCAGAACATCTATATATGACATCAGGCCCTTTTTATGCCCGTTTTAGGCCAGAACAACGACTCAGGGTCGGACTCACCGTAGATTGCGGAAGCTTTATCGAAGAACTCCATTGTGCATTGAGCTGATGGCAGCGCCGTTGCGGCGTTCCAGGCCAATTGATCTACAGATCCCATGCCCCAGAAACATCTGCGGCCACCACCTGCAATGTGCATGAAGTGACCAAGCAAGATTCTGTCTCTCCGGAAACCCGTGGGGAAATAACCAACAGATTAGTTTCCCGAGCCGCTGATTTGTTTACTTCTGTGGACTCGAGTTCGCATGGCTGGCAGTGGGCGATTGGGATCATTGGTGATCATCATTTTGAGGATTATACTCTCATCATAGTCCATTTGGTAAGAGATCCCCAGCCTTAGCCATCATGGATGATGCATGCTGTGGAGAAAAAAGAACATCACATTCTTTCATGGGCATACTGTCGTGTTGATCATGATAAGACCAAAGAGCATGTTGATCACACCTTGGTGCGCTCGTCGGACTGCTCGTCGCGCAGGCCGGTGAGCCGACTGCTAAGCTTGCTCATCTCAGGCGAGGCGAGGAAGATGCGAGCCACTGAGCCACTCCATCAATGAGTAGATGGGTGCATTTATAAACGAGAAGCTACTGTTACTAGAAACAAGTGCATCGCTTCTAGTAACAAGTGCCTTACTACTAGTAACAAGAAGCTACTAGTAACATTTAATCTTGTTTTACGTGTTTTTTAGAGCCGTTAATTGTGGTTTCAGAGGTTCCATGGCACAGACCCCATGATGTCCTGAAAAGGATGGGGGTCCATTTTTGAACCAGCTCTTGGGGTTTGTGCTATCTACTAATGTCGCATGATAAACAACTCTAGAATTGATGGATTACTGTGCAGCATTTGTGTACCAGTGTACCATGTATGAACTTCTACTGACGTTATGAGATCAGGGAACATGCGGCATCATGCGGCCATTTGCAGCCGATTTTGTGACAAGGCTTCTTTGTGACATTGCATCCGACCTTCACAGGCGCATAGGACTGGAGTGGAAGGAGATTGTTGCTGGATTGATGATGCAGAATGAGTTTAAGTTGTCCAGCCCGAGCCCAGCATTGTGGCACAATGAGTTGACAGCTCACTGTTGGGATCATGTTATGTGTTTGTTTGTAACGACAGTTTTTTTCCCAGAGGCAGGACCAGTCGTCTAATGGGTAAGGCGTTGCGATTCTGCGACCCAAGCAGATGTCAGCATCTTGATGGAGGTTCAAGTCCTCCCTGGTCCGTTTTCTTTTGCCTTGTTGCCTTGTGAGCGGAGCTCCTTACGAGCCGGAAAAGACATAACAATTCACAGGATGCTACTTGACCCAAACTTTCGTTTGCAATGTGTGAGCAGGTCTTCGCGCAAACCGCCAAGAAGGCGCAAGCTTCTTGGGGGCAGCGCAATCTCAAACCGGAGGGGTGTTCTAAATGCCCTCCAACTTGGTGAAAACCAATGGATTTCAAGTGTGTGATGGTCAAAAAGCACACAATAGGAGGATGGCCACCCTCCTTCACAGGGGTTGTGAAAAGACCTCCATCATCTCTAGTGAGAGCTGGATGACCATTTGCAGGTGGCATGTCAAGACCTTGAAGGGGAGGTGCCATAGGGCAAGATGGATCATGCAACAGGACCAAATCCGATGGGCTCAACGATAACAACCATCCCACTCACTCAGCTTGACCGCCACCGGGCCTGAGAGGCCGGTGTCGCCTGAAGGGCCTGGCCAGCCTGAAGGTGAAGAGAGGGGCTGATGGGATCAGAGAAAATGATGTGCCAGAAAAGCTCTCTCTCTCTCTCTCGGTCTCTCTCTGCCTCTCTCTGGTTTCCTTTGTCTCCCTCTCCCTCTCCCTCTCCCTCTCCCTCCCTCCCTTGACCTTGTTGGACGGCTGTGTTCCTGGTAGATTGGCTAGCTGGATTTAGCACAAAGTGCTTCACCGCATGTTTGATCCAGTCATGATCTGATCCCGTTGCAAGCGTAATCTTAATGTCCAGTTGTATAGTTGAAACGAAAGCGAGCAACTAGTGGAACAGGACAAACCGGAAAAGAGCTAGGCTGATAAAGTACATGATATAGGCCAGAGGACGTTCTTACCAATGGCCGAAAAGCACCGGAAAAAATAACCGTAAGATAAAATGTTAAAATCCAACGCACGTCCAGCTCTTGGGAATGAAGATGACCTTTGTTGTCGCTCATCTTGAACATCATGGAACCATCCTCTCTTACAGGTTATATATAGAGGAACCATGTGTTTTTTTGGGCGAAGAACAGGCATCAAGCTTGGAGGACACGCCATGGTTCCAACTCTTTGGATCCTGGACCTCTTGGTGGACGATGGGTCCACGTCGATGCGGTCCACGTCGATCTGGTCCTGCGGCGTCGCAGGTGGATGGCTCCGTCGAGCCACTGGGGAAGTTCCTGTTGGTGAAATCGGCGAAGGTCGAGGAAGTCACCAAGGCCGGCAATGGTGCGCGGAGGAGTGGTGAATGTCGGTGCTGGATCATGCTAACAGTGGCACATGGGTAAATGAACTCTTTTTAAGTTCTTAAATCATCCATTTAGGATTCATCAAGGTTCATTTCGGACACTTGGGGTAGGGCCTTTTCCTTGCCACACATGAGATGCTGGCTGGCGCACGCGCCAGGCCGGCTTGCTGCTACCCAAGAGCGAGAAACCCAAAGAAGGCGAGGTTGTGGCCACAGGCCCCGGCGAGGCGAGACCAAGCAATCTGGACGACTGGGCATAGCGATGCATAGGGGCATGGGAGGTACTTGGTTCTTTTTTTGGCTTGTACATGTAAGTTTCCACTGGCTCATTTCACGGACTTTCATTTGAGTAATAATGAGAATACATGTAAACGTGTAGTTTCATGTGGCAAGTTTCTTCGGTCATCCAAGTTTATCGAAATGCGACCGACCATGTGAAAGCACCAGTGAAGGCACCTGACCTTGCTCTCCGGTGAGAACACAGGGTCGTCCGGCAGGCTCATGTCGAGTCTGGCCACTTGGTGCCTTTGTCGGTGGAGGTTGGTGAGAAGGCGCCTTGGGTGCAGGAGATTTCAACCGAATGGCACGGGTTGAAAGGTTTTGCTTTCGAGGACAGGCATGTGTGCAAACTCCAATGTTTCCCGGTGATTGGACTGAGGTCTTGTATAGCAAGCCGGGGAGCATAGCATAGCGTCCCAGATGGAGAGTTGGACTGACACCTTTGGACCTAATGTAGACTCTTGATGAATGAAACCTCAAACCTCTGCATGTGGATTGTAACACCATGTAAAGCCTTTTCAGCTCCCTGGAGCCTGAGAAGCACGGCCGTAGCGTCACCGGCCGCTGGATCGTGAGGTACGGTGGCTCGGAGGCCATCGAATGTCAAGGTGAAGAACACGTCTTGGCCGTGCAGCCCAGAGCTATGAAAAACGGGGACTCCCAGGGGTCACCGTCATACCTGGCTGCGACGCAGCTACTCACAGCTCTGTTGTAGGTTTCATGTGGCTGTTGAAGCATTCTTGACAGGCAGAGATCAAAAGGCCAAAAGGATCCGAAAGGGATTAAATCACGCCAGGTTCGCGATCGCTATTAATCACACTGCTTTTCAAGCTCACTGCCTCAGTGTTCGATTCTTACCAAGCGCCAGGCTAGAGAGTGCCGCTAGTTTGGGGCTCGAGGTCGCCGATTTGGCAGGATGTTTGTTCGGCCTTCCAATCTCATCGGTATTTTATAATGCTGGCCAACCATCCCCAGATATCCTCAGTGCAAATTGTCATATCTTATCCATACCTTTCTGCACGTTTGCTTGTGGTTGAATCAAGACACTTTCTTTTCCTTCCAGTCTTGGGCCTTTTCCCACCGTGCAGTCGACATCAACGTCGACATCAGGTGGCCCCATTTTTGGCCGGAACATCACATGGAAGAATGCTGCGGCCCTTTTCACCAACGCCTGCTTCTAAAAAAAAAGGCGCTTGCAGGTGCTGAAACGTGCGTCCACCACGGTGCCGGGGCGGTCCTGTCGTGGCGGGGACGAGTTTGACACCCACCAGGTCCAGGTCCCACGGGGTCCGACCCTTCGACTCCGAGGTCCGGGAGGATGACGTGCTGCTCAAGTACCAA